TAAACATCTATCAACTTTTTCGGATTTTGCGGCCCTGTCACGATCAATGTCAAAAACATATAAGGTGTCTTCATGCACATACCAAGTGGAAGATTGTACGGCGTTAAGATAACTGGCCAACATGAATAATTTTTTCCTGTTTTCCCAAATGGAGCAAATCTATCGGCACAGAGACCTAACCTGATGTTCCGAGGCTCCATCGCAAACTCAGGGTATGTTCTATCAAAATGTTGTCATGCCTCTGCATCTGAAGGATGACACATTAGACCCTCTTCTGTTTCATGATTTGCATGCTAAGTCATGTGTTCAGCAGTGGCTTTAGACGCATAAAGCCTTTGCAATCTGGGGATTAAGGGCAGATAAAACATTTACTTGCATGGTCTACTCTTCTGATTACGACCCGACCTCCTGTTAATCTTGTACCTAGGTTGGCTACAGAATTTGCAAGATTCTGCATTTTCATCATCTCTCCAATATATCATCCAACCCCTACTACATACATCAATCCTTACAACCGGAAAACCTAAGTTATCCACTAGCTTTTTCATATCATAAAAATCACTTGGCATGATGTTATCACGAGGCAATGATTCCCGCATTACTTCAACAAAAGAGTTGAAGCAATCCGCGAACACATTATGCTCTGCCTTGATATTTAATAGTCGGGCTGTCACCGATAACTTAGTGTGGTCCTCACAACCTGCCCATAAAGGTTCATCTGTTGCTTTCAACACTCCCGAACTCGATTAGATTGAAAAGTTTCATTATAGACATTCTCATCAAAACCCGTTACTCCTATATCTTCCAATTGTGAAGCATGACTAGTACCCACTTGTTCACGTATAGGAGTAAAACTAGTACTTGCATAATTTGATTCTGTGACAAAATTATAACTAGCTGCATCAATCACCATCCTCTCGTATGGGTTCAATTGCTCATAATAGCAACATTCTTCCCTAACTGAAAATTGGTCACTTCTTCCATATCCTTCATCAGATATAAATGGTTCACCATAGGAAGTCCAATTATAATAGTTCGGACTAAACCCAAATCTAATAAGGTGTTCTCTAACTTGATCACACACAAGAAATTTACCATTACCGCACTTTTTACACGGACACCTTAACTTATTTCCATCCATGAACTCATATTTACTACTAGCAAAGTCTAAAAATAGTTCCAACCCAGTACGAAACTCATTTGTCAATCCTTGACGTCCAGGTAAGTTCTTATTATACATCCAAGCCCTTTCTCTTTGCATTGTGTCTGTATTAAAATAAAAAATTCTAGTAAAATATTTAAAATATCATATCTATTGTTCTTAATTAAAACCATAAAATTTTGGAAATTATAATTTTTGTTATTCACGCAACAATTAATATGAAATTGCAAAAATAGAAAAAATTACCATGTAAAGATTACCCAAATATTTGACTGAAATATTGGTAGGAGAAAGTGGTCAATTTGATGAGAATTGCAACGTCCACTTGGATTGCGAGACCTTCAATTAGACACATACCCAAAAAGAATAATCACTTAAGAATCATTTTTTAATAATTTTTAATGTGCGATGGAAACGGAATTCATCCCTCGCAAATTTGCGACGGAAACTGTTTCCGTCGCAAAACGGCATGGCCGTTCGGCCTCATCCAAAGGCCGGCGAGGTGTCGCCGGTCGCCGGTCGTTAAACCGGTGATGCAGATACGAAAAAAAAACAAACATAAACATATATAAAATAAAAGAAATTACAATTCAACGATGAATAGTCACGAAGCTAGCTATGATACTTACCGGTACAAAAGTTTTACCGAGATTAATATGTGCGTGCGCGGATTTTGCTGATTTCAGACATATGAAAGATGGAGAAAAGCGAGAGAGAGCGAGAGAGAGAGATAGGGTTGGAATATCACGGGCTAATAAACTACAAATTTGCGACGGATTTGGCGACAGTTTTTTTTTTCCGTCGGAAATTTGCGACGAACTTTTGTCCGTCGCAAATTTGCGACGGAATTAGCGACGGTTTTTTATTTCCGTCGCAAATTTCCGACGGATTTTTCATCCGTCGCAAATTCTGTCGTAAATTTGCGACGGAAATAAACCGTCGCTAATTTGCGACGGAAAATATAATCCGTTGCAAATTTCGTCGCAAAATTTCCGACGGAAAATTTCCGTCGCAAATTACATATTTTTTTTGTAGTGGATGTTGCTAATGGTTCTCCTCTTAAGTAGCATGAAAAATGATGCTACTCGAACGTAGAGCACCCTTTTTTTTTCTATTTAATCTTAATAACCAATTAATATGTCTCGACTATAAAGACTTGCAATGCAAGTACAACAAATACAAAATTGATCACCTATCATCTTTTGTATGTTTGGGGTGCGCGTTTGTTTCACCGAAAACTTCATAATAAAGAAAACCGAAATAAGTCGGACCCAAAATTTGTAGTCTCAACCCATTTTACAATGATTTGTAATGGTCAGGACCATACATTAACAATCAGGAGCATACCTGATCTTGGTGACTTACTTTTTCCATATGACTAATACGGTTGGCCTTGGAGTAAAACGGTCGGTTATCGTTTACGAGTTTGATTCACGATGTACGCGAATCTCTGAATAGTTTGATTTACATTGTTTAATTTCGACATATCTCACAATATTAAAACCTCTTGAAATACAAATCCCAAACTGCAAAAAGAAAAAAAAAAGAGAGAGAGAGAAAAGTGTGACAAGTGATATTGCACCTTCTCCCATGACGTGACTGAAATTGTCTAGTATGGTAAAAAATTCAGCGAACATCACGTGCTCTAGCTTTAATTGATTAATCGTGGAGAACTAATTTCTCCGCCAGGCATCTCTCGTAGTGACACGTGTAATGCAATGTGGCCTGAATGCATGCGCACGTTGGGGCAAATCGTGTGGCCTGCGGCCGTACAGCATAATGAGATTTCGGCTCACCAATTGTGAGCTGTCGAGAAATATAATATTTGTGTCACTCATAGAAATGAATCTCCCTATACAAAATCTCATATAATTTTATAAAATTCAAGACAGTCATATATATAATATATATATAACGACAATACGTATTATACAATTTTATAAAATTTGAGACAATTATGAATATCAAACAGCAATACGTATTATATATGTATGTATACGTATATGTACATATATAATTTATGGGTTAGTTATATAGATCAAATAAATTATTGGGCATGACAATGATGCGATGTTCTAGGAACATACAAACGTTCTTCTCTCTATTAGATTCAACCTCCAAAACTCCAATATATTGGCAAACCAATTCCGTCCACTCTTTTGATAAATATACTTTATCATGCAATCGCTGAATTAAGATCTAGTATTATCATGATATTTCACATGTGTGAATGTGGTTTCGGTCTAATAGATCAAACCAACATACTACGTCAACTCAGATAGATACCTTTTGATCGTTCACTCTTCCTAGATAAAAATCCCCTTAAAGGCCAAATGTCTGATGATCATCGGTACATAAGACCCCAAATTTTACTCAACAAATTTTTTTTTGGCTCGGAACTCAAGGTTCAACAAGTCAGGTTTTGGAAGATTCATCAGGAGTATTACTAGTTGGAACATGATCAAATGAGGTTCTTTGTAAAGTTAACAACCTCGCTGAAGTTGTATATGATGAATAAATTGTTCCCAACTTAAATTTTTCAGAGCATCTGTTAGCACGACAATTTTAGAATTTATTGTCTAATAATTTTTCCACATCGGAATTGATTACGATAATTTTGGACTGAAGAGGTGAAAAAGCTTGCTGGAGGGCTAATTGCTAGATGGAGAAAGTTCAAACTTTGGAATGGACAATTTTGTGGCTAATAATGAAAACTAGAAAAGTTTTTGGCCATTCCCGCATGTGCCAAGTCTAGTCGCACGTGCACGCGGACCCTAGTCTATCTCAGCCTCTCAAGTCTCTCTCTCTCTCTCTCTCTCTCTCTCTCTCTCTCCTGTTCTTTAATCTACACTTTCCATGTCCACATCAATCCCATCTTCCTCGCTGACATGGAGTCGTCGACATTGGATTTCGCCCCTAAAAAGAGAAATGAACAATTATCGCATGAATCGGAATCATATACTCCCAGAAGACCTTTTAAATAGAACTAGTGTCGCGTGAGGTCGACCATATTTAATAACGCATTTTGTATTAGCTACGTATATTATGTGAAAGTAAAGTGTAATTATACTATCACATTTTTGGTAATCCACCTCTTTGATCCGAAATTGATGTTGATGTTGCCCTTAAAAAATCAAAACATGACAACCTCCTAAGTTAAATGACACATGACAATAGTCAATGAAAAAGACAAAATCTAAGTTCACAACTTGGGAGGATTAATGTTTGTAACTGAGGATATTGACTTATTATGTGGCATAATCTTTCCGACATCTTACGATTAGCTCTCAAAGCAAGCTTTTTTGCCTTTTGCAAACCATCACAAGTTTTTGAAGATAGGGTCCATTTATTTGAGGGGAAATTGTTTACGAAAAATTTTCCGAATTTTCATTGTTTAGATGACGAAAAATTAGTCAATCTATTGAAAGCTTTTTTGTGAATTGAAAACAACAAGTTTATATTTGAAAAAAAGACTTCCACTTATGGTAAGAAATCATTGTTCCTAATTTTTTGCTATTTCTTATAATTAAATTAGCCTAAATTAGACTTTATTAATGCATTTTAGTGGATTCAGTTGTTATTAAATACCATAAAATTGATTTTTTTCAACATGTTTTGACACAAATAAATACCAGAAAATTATTTACTTTATCTGAAATTAAATCTTCTGAAAACATTTTTCAGCGATAAATTTTCAATAAAACAAATTCATCCACGTGACATTTTTATTGACCCGTTCCCTCTTCGTCTCTTTCTCTCTCTGCTGCTGCTGCTCTTTCTTCACCAGCTGTACAAACGCCAAAAAGTAATTGAGTTCCACCAGTCAATCTGCACCACAAGTAGCTTTATCGGACAGTTTGATGATAAGGAGCAACCCATCTTTGTTGACTTCACTCCAATAATTGTTGGCGAAATAGGTGTACTCGCTTCGAGTCCTTTGTCTCTCGGATCTTCCACTCCAGAGCATCAGAGCATCAGCATCAGCATCATCGTCCTCGACTCCCCAACATCATAATTTTCTTCTCAAGTCCTGCCCTCCTTTTTACTTCAGGTTTTGTTCTTTGATCTCTTCACTCATTGCTTCTGTTCTTTAATGTTCTTCAGGTGTTATTCTGTTAGATCTGGGTTTTGGCAATGGTTTTCTTGTCTCCTGGGTTTGATCACTTATGAGGATCTTCGAACATTATAAATTTGTTGCTGACGCAACCACGCAGGACATGATTTCCTTCTACAGTAATCCTGCTATGCACTTAATATATATTGGACCTTCCAACTGTTGTTCTCACACAGTGTACCCACAGCACAATAATTCCTCTCCCTAAACATAGACCACACTTTCTGAGTGTTTACAAATGGTCCATTATACACTTTGTCTCTTGCTAACCTTAGGAACAGTAGTAAAATGGTTATTACGAGCTTATAAAAGAGACAGACTAAAATATCTCCCAACAGTGCTTAAATTCCTCTTGTAGCTATTAGATTCATTTAATCATCTGTAAGAGAATCTCGGCAAAATATTGTGAAAAACACGTCCAGAATCTTGTTAGTCCATCAATTTTGGCATTTGGAATTTTACATCTATTGCCAAGAGCAGTAGTCCGTCAGGTTTCAAGTCCTATAACTATCGGACTTTCCACTCCAGAGCATCAGCATCAGCATTGTCCTCCGCTCCCAATACCGTACTTGTTCGTCTCAAGTCCTGCGCTCCTTTTTTCTCAGGTTTTGTTCTTTGATCTCTTGACCCGTTGCTTCTGTTCTTTGATGTTCTTCGTGTGTACATTATTCTGTTAGATCTGGGTTTTGGCAATGGTTTTCTCGTCTTTTGGGATTGATCTCTTTTGAGGATCCTCGTACGTTATAAATTTGTTGCTTACTGAACTACGCTTGCTCATTCAAATGTTCAAATTGCCTGCTCGCAATCTCATATTCTTTTTGCAATCACAATTAGCTTGATAAACATTCTTTCTATGAACTCCTACTTCTTTGGATTAGCTATTTTAAATCTGCCTCTAGTTACTGGTAATTCTGCCTTACCACAGCTTCTTGACTGCCCTTAAAAATCTGGTCATCTAATTTTTGTTGTGAGCATAATTTGAATTTGCAGTCCACCCAAAAGAAGAACCTCTTGTTCAGCAAAAATTCCTGAACTCTGTAAAAGTGAGAATTTGCAAACTGTCAAGAAAAAGTTGGTATTTCGCAAAAGTGTTATTAAATTACTTGAAAATCAGGTAACTCGTCATTTCTTTTACCAATAGCTTTTTAACACTTACCAATTCTTTCATAAGTTTATCAGCGTAGAAAAAAATTCATTTGTTTTAAAACGGAATAGTAAAATCGTCCCTGTAAAATCGTCCCTACGCCTATTAAAATTGGGCTTCTGCTATGAAGTAAATTAGCAATATAAACAGCGGAAATTAAAGGTTTAGAGAAATAAAAATTGCAAATGAGATTTATAAAGGTTCGATTCGGGTACACATACTCCTCTTTCTGGCTCTAGTAACCCAAATAGATTGAATTCCACTAGCTATGCTAAGAGCACAAATACCGTTTTTGTTTGGAAAATTACCCAATCAATCCTTAACTTATTATACAGTTGTTAATTTGGTTTTAAACTTTTTAATTTTGCTAATTTAATCCTGAACCTTTCCGTAAAATTTCAATTTAGTCCTTTTGGTCAATTTTCTCCGGAATCACTAACGTGACCGTCGAGTCATCACTGGCCGTTCTATATGACACACCACCATGTTAGCAATTTTCGAAGAACTTGGCCTAAAGGACTAGATTTGAATTTCGAGCAAAGGTTTAGGACTAAATTGGCAAAATTAAGAAATTGAGGATTGTATTAACATCCATATAATATGTCTAGAATCACCCTCGTCATGTTACAAGTGCAGAACTTGCTTCCATGCACTACCAGACTTCCTTCTACAGCAATTCCGTTATACACTGAGTGACTTTTGGACCCTCCAATAGTCGTTCTCACACCTTGTACACAAAACCCAGTAAATCCTTTCCTAAATTATAAACCACACGTCTAAGTGTTTACAAAGAGTCCATTATCCTAGACAAATGTTGTTCACTCTTACTACGTACAACACCTTTTTCATATGTTCAGAAATTGGTTTGTCACTCTTGCTAATACTTAACAACAACACTAAAATGTGTATTACAAGCTTATAAAAGAGACAAACTTAAAAATCTCCCAAGAATACTTAAATTCTCTTGTAGCTGTTATGTCTATCTAATCTTCTGTAAATAAAAAAATCTCTGCAAAATTCCTTAAACAAACACGTACAAAACCTTGTTTCAATCTAGGCCGTCAATATGATCTTCTTTAATGCAGGTTTTAATCATATCGTCTCATCAATCTTTTGAGCGAATTAATCCATCATTTTATGCATAACTAATCTTAGAGTATTACATTTATTGCTATGAGCTCGGGCTTTGATTTTGGAACTCCAATAGTCATTAAATCTATCCATGGAGAGTGCTCGTTAACAAAATATGACCGTATTCGACCAAAAAAAAAAAGCAATATATTGACTGTTTTGCAGAACCTAGTTTGGTTCTACACCTTTCCTTCAGCAGTTTTCCTGACTTAGTAAAATCTTACTCATATACTTGTAGAATCTGAACCTAGTTCCTGTATGGTTTGGACATGAACCTTTGCACACTTAAGTGAAATCTTTAAATTCTTGGGTTAAACTTTGTTATTATCAAAATCCTTGTACGATAATTTCCAAACAGTTTCTCCTTTTTCGATGATGACAAACCTATACCATTCAATAAGAATGAGTTATGTGTAACGTTTTCTTAATGTGGATTACATTAATTGAGATTGTTATTACCCGCTTACGGGTTTGGTCTAATAAGTTTGGATATACAGTTTCTTAATTGGTCGGATATGGGCCCGGCTTGTGTGGGCCGAGTTCGGCCCGGCCCGTTATGAGAGGGCATGGCTGGAAACTCTATAAATAGAGCTGCAAGTCCCTCCTCTGCACCGAACTCTCTCCAATCTCTCTCAAACGCTCTCAAACTCACCTAAGGCTTCCGTGAGTTGGCTGAGGCGGTCTCATAGCGCCGGGACTTCGGGGGTGACAGGGGAGAAAACCTACGGCACCGGTTCATCGTCATTTCCGCATCCAGGCCGATGGAATCCAATACAGGTGCACAAATTCTATTCATCTTTTACCGTACCGTTAATATCTCGCTATGGTGATCCTAGGGCGCTAGGCCGAGCCATACGAGCCGGCCAACATGTGGTATCAGAGCCGGCATAGTCGAGAAACGGGCCGGTACTGTTCGTATGTGATTTCGATTTTTTCATCGGATAAATGTTAGAATAAATCACATAGATGGATAGATTGTCGCGAGACGAGCATTTTGAGTGGTCGCCGGCCACCAGGGACCGCCGGGAGTGGCCTCACGCGCCGGGGCGTCGGAGAGCCCCGGCGGCACACGCGCGGCCACGCGCGGGTGTTCCCAGGCGCGTGCAACGCACGCGCTAGGGTTTCCGCGAGCCGGGTCACTCCGACTGACCCGACCCGACTCCGGACCCGACCCGTTGACCCGACCCAGGGTCCGACCCGTTGACCCCGGCCCGGGGATTGACCCGACCCGGATCCGACCCGTTGACCGAACCGGTCAACCTAGACGGACCTGTGAGCGGTCCCGACCAGGTCAAGGCGGTCGACGGGCCGACCGCCTTTGGCCGGCTTTAGGCGCCGGCGCGTGAGGCCCACGCGCCGCACCTTCAGGAGGCGCGTGAGGGCGCGTCCGGCCTCCGTTTGGAGCGTGCAAGGTATCGGCGTGCTCGTATAAAGATTATCTACACTGTGGTATATTTATTGTACATTTTTTATACTTTTAAGGATGTGAAAATACATACGGAACCCTATATACGCGTATTTTTAGGGTATATTTTCGTATTTTCCTGTATTTCTCTATGGATTAAGAGATACAGATTAAAGATTACATGTATATGATGACATAAGGATGTGTAGATCATGTTTCATTGATAGTATGTATAAGGTTCAACATATATCAATGTATAGAGTAATGTAATTAGCATGGTATGTAATTTTAGAGACATTGCCCATGTCTTCCAGTCTAGAATTACATTATATAGTATATGTGAGACATAAAATTTATATCCTAAGTATGAGAGAGTTTCAATGATTCAATTTGGTAGTGACCGCCAAAGTGGCATACTTAATTGAGTTTGAGAAATATCAGTCTCGTATTGTTAGGATGTCTCCTGTTCTAATGTGTTGTCATACTCCCAAAGGAGGTGATTATGTATTGGTTCATGGAGGGATGCATGTACAACATGCGTGAGGAATGACTGATCCTAGTGGTTCATACACCTAAAGGTGGTGAATTCATAAAAGATTGGAATATATTCTCATGGTCGTTGTAATGTAGAGGGTATACAATTGCATATCATGTATTATGCCCAAAGGTGATTATATGATGATGTGTGTAACTCTCAGGAAAGTACTCACATGATGCTGATTATAGACATTGCTTGTTTTTTATAGTCACCTTCTCCCTGAACGGCAACTCCATAAGTATTGAGGTTCTTACTGGTTCAAACTTTAAGAAATGGAAAGAGGATTTTCTGTTTGGTATGGAGCTGGCAGATGTTCATATTGCTCTTACTGAGGATAAGCCAGCAGATGTCACTGCTGATAGTACGGATATGGAAAAGGCACAGAGTGCCGCTTGGGCAAAGAGCAATAGGATTTGCTTGTTACTGATGAAGCGATCCATTAAGGACCATTTGAAAAGTAGTTTGCCAGCTGACTGCACTCCTAAAGAAATGATGGAAACCTTGCAAGCAAGGAACCGTGACTCGTCTAATGCTGAGGCTGGGACATACATGCAGTTACTCAATAATATAAGGTATGATGGTTCAAGTGGGGTTAGGGATTACGTCCTTAGGATGGTAGACCTTCAGACAAAACTAAAGGTTCATGAGATTATCCTTTCTGATGCCTTCATTGTGCATCAAGCCCTGAATACCCTTCCTACGGAGTTTGGAATTATAAAGACCAACTATAATTCCCAAGATGAAAAGTGGTCAGTCAATGACCTGATAGTTAGGGTTGTGGCAGAGGAAGAGAAACTGAAGAAAGATAAAGGGAATCTAGCTTTCTATGCCTCTAGTTCCAGTAGCAGGAAGAGTAGTAAGTTCAAGAATCGTACTCAGAAAGGAACTCCTGAAACCACCGGTCATTTAGACAATCTGGGTCCTGAGAAAACACCCTTGAAGAAGAATGGTGTTCACTGCTACTTTTGTAGGAGGAAGGGTCACATGAAGAAAGACTGCAATAGATATAAAGCTTGGTTGTCCAAGCGTGAGCAGTCAGGTATTAATTCTTTGGCACTTGTTTGTGAATCCAATCTATTAGAAGCTCCATCCAGTTCTTGGTGGCTAGATAGCGGTGCAACTAATCATGTTGCGTATACCATACAGGGATTCACAAACAGAAGGAAGCCAAATCATGATGAATTAAAGCTCACTGTAGGAAACAACAAAAGAGTCGACGTCGAGTTCGTGGGAGATGTCATATTAATTTTGGATTCTGGTTTTAATATGATGTTAAGAAACACCTTTTATGTGCCTTCCTTCAGACAGAACTTAGTTTCCGTATCAAGTTTGGATGTTTGTGGCTACTCTTTTGAAATAAAGAACAATTTGGTTTCTATGTTCTTTGATTCA